ACAGGTTGTTGGAAAATCAATACCAAAAAAGGGCTCAGCATAATTGGTAAATCTGACAGTTAATGTGCTAACATACTTCAAGCTTTGAAACCAATTAAAAATACCAATTAAAAACCAGACAAGATACCACTACACCCCTATTAGAATAGACCCCCCCCCCAAAAAAAACCCCACCAAACTAAAAACAACTCAAAACCCATGTTGAGTATCATTGAGGATGTGGAACAATAGGAAAATTTGTACTCTGGTAGGAATGAAAAATACTGTGAAAAAGTTTCTTATAAAATAAAATACATGCTTATCATAAGAGCCAAAAATCTCAATCTTAGATCTTACCCAAGAGAAATAAGAGCTGACATTGTGAAAACCTACACACAAATGTTTGTAGCAGTTCTACTGGTAATAACCCCAAACTGGACACAATTAGACGCCCTTCCCTTAGGAAGCGGCTACAAGGCAACACCGCATGTCCTCGGAGTGCTGCTCAGGAACAAAAAAGAACTCGCTGCCAGCTCACACAGCAGCATGAAGAATCCTGAAGTGGACTTCGCTAAATGAACAAGGTCAGATCCCAAAGTTATGTAGTATGTGATTCATTCACAAGACTTGGAACCAGCAAAACTGAAAGGATGGAAAACAGATCAAGGCTGCCAGAGGAGGGCTGGTGGGATAGGTATGATGCAGAGGAGGGCAAGAGAGAGGCAGGGCACTGGTCTGTGTGTCAGGATTGTGGGGGAGGATTTGTGCACTGTGCATGTATCAAAACCCGAAGAACCACAACCAACACAGCATAGACAGGAAACTTTACCATGCACAAGTTTAATTTAAAAATCAATATGTGGTGTAAATAGAATAAGGGCCATAACAAAGGAACCTGTTTTATGAGCAAGTAGCATACGTATCTTTCAGAAAGTAGGAAAGAAAAGGACAGAATTAAGTTATTTTGGAGAATGATATTTTATCTGGACACTGTAAGACTACGGACAAACAGAAGTTTACACAAATACTCTAGTTAGAGAATTTGTCTCTTACAGGAAATGGGTTAGCAATTTTGAAGTGACTCTGTGCATATACTAGGGTGGAACAAATCGGCAAATATATTGCAGACAGTGAAAGCCACCACCATCAAAGGAAGAATCTGTAAGAAAGGCAGAAAAAGAGAACAACAGTTGTACTGTTGGTCTGCAACTGGACACATCATTATGCACTCATGGTCTTATAGGAGATGACACAGTAGATGAGATACATAGATAAATAGATATTTTTAATGGATAGCTAAAGATGTAGAGAGACAGCGAGTGGATGGATCACAGGTAGATGACGGGTGAATAAATGATGGGTAAATAGCTCACTAGACAAACGGATGAGGGGGTGCGTGTAAGTTAGAACGTGTACCTATATCTCCAGCCTCTGTCCCTGAGAGGGCCTGGAGATGATGTCACCACTGAACACACCCAGGTCTAGAGATATTGGTTTCTAGATACTATTCTCCAACAAATGGAACCAGCAGTTGTCGGTGAAAGAGTAAATTCTAGGCCCGGTGCAGGGCCAATACAAGACATTGTGGTGATGAAATATAAGGAAGGAGCAAACCAGAGACACAGGTACCAACCTGGAAAAACACTCCAAAGCTCCAGTTGTAGCCTTTAAGCAGTAAAATACTTAGTGACTGCATTGGATTATAATCCATGGAATAAATTATATAGCTACAAGACCATGCAGATAGTAATAACTGGATAAATACAGAAATAAGAAAGAAGGGACAGGCCCTCTTTACTTCAAGATTCTACTTACTAAAATGCAAAGAATGGGGATAGAAAGTCCCATGAGAACTGCCCAGTCATCCTTGTTTCAGGCAAAATCCACTAGTGGATTTGCTAAAATTAGTGGGCAAAATTTTAGAAAAAAGAATATTTGCACGATCTGGATGCATCTCTCCTTACTACCTACGTTAAGTACCAAGCGTACCTTTGAGGTGGAGAAGTAGACCGGCTTCCCTTTAAAAACAAAGCCATCAAAGAGAAAATGTGATGAACTCAAGTGCTCCCTCAAGTGGTATGTGAAAGTCATAACCCCGAAGTATTCTTACCAAAAATGCCTAATTCCAAGCTTAATCATGAGGAAGAATGGGAAAAATCAAATTTTAAGGGATATTCTGATTCCTTCTCATCAAAGTGTTAAGGTCAGGGATAATGGAGGGAAAACTATAGGACTGTCACTGATCGAAGAGATGGAGATGTCCTTCAAACTCAGGCCGGTGACTGATGACCTGATCATCACAAAAGAAAACCCCAGAAAGACAGACAGCAGCCTCAGCTCCAAACCCAAGCAGGAGCCTCAGGAGATGACTCTGCTCCCCTCACCTGGCTGAACACACAGTCAGGGGCATTTCCAGTACCAGCAACCTGCCCTGAGGAGCTGTTGGGCAGTGACAGCCTTTTGTCCACTGGTCCTGTTCCTGTCCTATCAGAAGTGATTACTGGACCATGATGACCCAGCCCTTATTGAGCATCCAGAGCGGCTGCTGCTGCCTGGTGCCAGTGGGTGGCTTGGTTCCAAACGGCATGGGTCCTTTTCTTTCTACATGATCTAGTGTTTCAGTGCTATGGCTCTGATCCTTAAATGATGGTGGCTTGGCTGGGAGACAATTCCCTTCACCCTGTACTATCTCCATGCCAGATCTAGGACTGAGTCCTTCTCCAAAGAACACTGGAAAATGCTCACCTTTTGAGGTTCACTGATCTTGGCCCAGGCTTTTTTGCAGATGTCAGCTCCTGAGCCTAAAGGTGACTGTCCTGTCCATCTCCCCCATGCTTGTAACACTCTACTGTCTTTCCCTGATTACTGTATGGCTTCTCTGCCCTGACCACTACAAAGTGAGCATCCCAAGAGTTTGATTCACCTCTGGGTCCAGGACCCACAAAATGATTCTGAACAGGGAAGCTCTCGCCGATGTCCAGGTCCTAGAGATAGGGGAGGAGCATCTGTGAGTGGGGCTTAGCCTGCCCCACCTCCATCCTTTCTTCCCTGGGCCTTGATCCCTCCTCTTGGAACCTGCTCAGGCTTTGGGAACAGAGTGGCTTTCCAAGTCTCTGTGCTCCACCTGCCCCACACACTGTAAGTGGAAGCCAAAGCCTGGCTTGCAGGAGATGGAGAATGAGCTACCAATGGGACAGGTGTGCTTGGCCACTTTGGGAACCTCCCTAGTTGGTCTGAGGGCATGTGTGTGGCACAGTGCTGATCTGTGTTTAATGTCCTTTGCCTGACTACAGGTGACCTTTGAAGCCTGAAGCACGATAATTTGAGAGTGAGATGCCTTGCCTAGCGATTAGAAGCACACAGGCTTTTGCAGAAGTTCTAAAAAGCAGAGCTGAGTGACTGGCAGTCATTGGGAGACAAAGTAGATCAGTGCTTGTTAAGCTAGAGCGCCCTCGTGTGGCTTATGGTGGCATCGCTGGGACACTCTGACTACCTCCTCCCTTCTAGAGCAAATCTCTCCATGAGCTTTCTGGCTGGGGTTGTGCCCATGCACTGAGGGACACAGGGGCCACATACTGCCCTGTACCCGGGGTCTGGTTCAAACTCATGACTATGCTTTTAGGCAAGATGTATCTCTACAAACACGTGCCAGAAACGATGAAAAATGAGGAAATGTCACCGACCCCTCTGAATAGGCAGGTCGTCAATTCTCCTGCTGTTTTCACACCAAGGTGCCTCTGAGGGAACAGTCGCACAGGCCACCCTGGAATCCCCCGGGCAGCCTTTACCAGTGGCCCTTCAATGGGGTGTGAGTGGGGAGGTGCAGCATTCCCTGAGGAATGTATGAATCCCACACAAACAATGGAGGAAATCCACTTATAAAGACAAGCTCAGTGACAAGGGTGTCCCGCCCACGTCCTGAGCCTCAGTTCCTGCTGGGGGGCTTACCAGAGTGGACAGACAGACAGAGTGGGCAACACAGAGTCCTGCACGTGGGTGAACAGTCACACTCATGTCCACAGGAACTGGGAAATCATACACACAGGAGAAAGGACTTCGATGGGCCAGACGGGATTTCTCTCTTTTCCTTTTTTTCTTCAACTTGGGGCAATCAGCTGGGCTTGCAGTGTGTAGTGTCCAGAGCTCCTTCCCCATCACTGCACATCCTACAGCCCCACCTCCAGCTCTCACTTTGCTCCACGGGAAATTCCAGGCTCTGCCCCATCAGCTGGGACGCTCGCCACCCTACCAGAGAGGCCACCATACCTCTCAGGGGCTCAGAAGGACCGTGCTGAGTGGGCCACAGCTGGACACATCCTTCAGGAAAACTCTTTTCTATGGCTTGGAGGTATAGTTCTCAGCTTCCCTGCATGAGGAACCTGAGGAGGGGAGTGGGGAGGACTTTGAAGGGAGTCCCCCCCCGCCGACCTTTTCTTATCAGGGCCCAGTCCCAAAGAACTATGCAACCATGAGAATCTGAATTTATAACACATGTTAAGTGTGTAGTGGCGGGAAAGTGTTGTTTTTTGTCGGACAGTAGCTGCTTTTGCAACCCACAGAGCAGGGCAGGAGTGGGCAGATTGCTGGGGAAATGCCTTCTGTTTGGGGGAAGGGGAGGAAGGTGCCTTGCTGTTCAGCACAGCACAGCCTGCAGAGCACAGCAAAGGCCCTGTGTAGGGGTGCAGGGCCCCAGGGAGAATATTCCATGAGATAGAGGAAGGCTTTTCCTTTTTTGAGGGATCTGGGAGAAGAGTGGGGCTGGAGCCCATCTTAGCAGAAACAGGCAGGTGCAGTGGGGGCCAGATGTGCACAGACCATGGTCCAAAGGTGAAAATGGAAAACTCTGTACCCCATCATTGAGCCCTCAGCACCCCACCACTCTCCCAGTCTAAACCACTGTCCCGGGCTTCCCCATCAGAGGTTGAAAGGACATGTTCAGTCGAGCAGAAGAAGCAGGCATATTTTACCAGTCAGAGCAGGAAGAAAAGGCTGTCCCTAGTAGACAGATGTCACTGCCTCACCTGCAGGCCACTGGACTCCAGGCTCCCTTCTTGCATCCACAGAACCACAGCCACACTGTGTATCCTCACCAGGCCCTGGTCCTTGTGTGCAAAGGCTCTGCACGGGGCCATCTCTGGCCATCTGCCGCCCTCAGGCCCAGCTGGCCTGCTGAAGAGCTTCCAGGATAGGTACACCGGGTGCCCCAGGCACCTGTGATTTCTGGTGCTGTGTGGCTACATCCATGTTCCCCGGCATCAGGCTTCTTCCCAGTTGCTCTGCAGCCTCATATCATGTCACCTTACTGTACTCCCCGCCCCTCCTCTGGTCTTGCTGTGCTCCTGGCCCATGGTTTGGGGGTGAGATTTTAGCCTTTAAATCTTGAGGTGAGGTGGGGTGGCCAGAAGTAGCCAAAGCTCGAATCTGTCCCCAGAACAAGGGTGGGTATGAGATTTGTCCATCAGTGAGTGCTAAGGAGTGAGTCTTGGCATCACTGTGCACTCAGGATGTCACAGAGGATCCTCCTGGGGCTGTCCCCAAGTGAACCCTGCCAGTTCCCCTGGACGGAGGTTGCCACTGAAGTCAGTCTTCATTTTGTCATAGGAGTTGAGCTCCTGTTGTTTCTGAAGCTCTTCCTCGGAGGAGGACATGACAGTTACTATGGTAACCAGGAGGCGGGCTTGCTCCTGCACTGGAGCGAGTGCTTACCCCTGCTTGGCAGGGAACATCACACATCCCCATGACTGGGATGGAGGCTGCCTTGTGAGAAGTGGGGGCCCAGAGGCCAGCAGCCAAAGCCAGGCCTCTTTCTGAGAAGCTCCAGCCAGCAAAGTTAGTTCTGATTCTGGTTCCTCCCAAGTGGACACAGGCGCCCACTCAAAGCTCTGCTTCTCCCTCATCCTGCACAGGATGGCTGCACAATGATCAAACCCCTTGGGGTCTTCAGAGATGAGACACAAAGTCCCATTTGGTCGCCAGCATCCACTGCTGTCCAGTACTGCTGAAGGGCAGCTGTACAACTCCATGGGCGGCTGGGAGAAAAGAGGAGCAAAGAACAGTAGTCAGAAGGACAAAGGGCGGCACAAGAGGGTGCCCACTGCTCCCTGGGGTGGGTCCTTTGGCACCCACTGAAAAACAGGGCCCAAAGAAGAAGACAAACAGTGACCCTGTGGCCCAAATGTCTTTTCATCTGGCCTGGGCAGAAGCAGGGACCGAGTCAGGTGTGTGGCCTTTGTCTGCAGGCACCTCCTACAGCCTCGGGGTAGGAGCAGCTTCTCTAGACCCAATCCCCAGTGAGGGACTTCTGGCCTCCTCTGGAGACCCCAGGGTGTAGACTTCCTGCTTCAGAGATGGCAGGCATCTGCCTGGCCAGTAAGGGCCTTGGGGTCTTCCCAGAAGCAAAGTAAGACCCTGCCCGAAAACTCCAGCCATGAAGTACTCACCTCACCGGAGTGCCAAGACCAGCTATGACCAGAGAATGAAAGCTAGGGAGAAAAATAAGAACAAAAATAAAAACTGAAAAAGAAAGGGGAGGAGGATGGAGAAACAGAAAGGAAGAGAAAGGAGAAAAAGAGTTTGTAGTGTTTCTGGCAAGAAATGACGTGGTTACAGACAGAGCAAGACAGAGCAGCCAGCTGGGAGGAGCAGGCACCATCAAGGACACGTGGAGGGAGGCTGTGTGAAGCCCAGGGTGCAGGGCGATGTGCCACCTCCCCTAGGGAAATGTCAGGGACTGGCCTTAACTGGAGCCAGGATGTGAGCACAGTTGGGGGCTCCAGGCCCAGCCCAGCCCCAACATAAAGGGTGATGATGACAGCCTGGTGGGAAGACACCCCAAGTAACCAACAAATCCAAGCATGCTTGTGATAGTATTTTAGTTCTGGCCACATCCTGCAGAGATTTTATAGTCTGAAGCTTTGCTTTCTTTTTTGATGGGTCAGGTGGGCCAGAGCCACATGGACACAGGAGAAGACCTGGTATGGCAGGATTGCTTAGCAAAAAAGAACCACTTCAGACAAATTTTAAAAACAAACCCCTGACTTAAAATTGTTCCACTGCTTAACACCAATACAAGCCCTCTAAGACTTTGGTCTCTTCAAGCTCAAGCTCTGAGAATTGTGGTCCTTCCGGGCATCCCTGTGCCTGCCAGATGCTTGCCCGTGTGACCTGGTGACCAGGGACTACTGACTCCCCGTTGCAAACCTTGTTGTGCAGGTTGCACTCTGAAAAGCTCTAGCTGTTCCTCACAGTGGTTTTGCACATATATGAGGTTTCTGGGCAGTGGTGGTAAAGTGTCTAGCAGATGGGCAGTTTAGGTCATTGCTGAGGAGGGGTGGGGAGGGCTGCAGTGGGGGGAGGAAGACCCAGTGGCCAGCTGAAAGGGAACTGCTGTCAGGAGGGGCCTGTCTCTCCTGGATAGCAGACATGTTTTCCTCAGCCCTGCTGAAGTGCTGCCCATAGGGCAGTCCTCCCCAAATCCAGCTTCCTGTTCTCTCTGGAAAGGACAAGAAGGGCAGGTGGGTCCCTCTGGTGCCTAGTGGGAACTGGTCACTTTGGTGAGATCTAACCCACAGGCAGGATCAATTGCTGAGGAAGCATCTATCTCTGGAAATTACTGAACCACCCCAAATCACATGCGGAGGAAGAACTGTTCCACAAGGGAGCCATCCCCATGGGAGTCAGAGCTCTCTGGGTGTGCCTCCACGATGGTCTGGGGAGCACAGTCCATCAACACAATTGTAAAGAGACCTGTGACCCCAGTCTCGCAGAGCCCAGTGTCCAGAACAAGAGCCCCGAGCATGTGGCCCGACTGCAGTGCACTTCAGCACATGGGGCTTGTGTACCTGCAGACAATCCCTCCAAGAGCTACGGGGAAGAGGTACTGTGCCATGGGTGGCAGATCTCAGGGTCCACAGCCCACCTTTCAGGTACTGGCTCTTCAGACCAATGCACTTAAGAGGCAGGTGCTTCAGTTTTGTCCGGGTACTCACAAAGGAGCACTAGGTCATGGATTGTGATGGTCGGGATCTAAAATGTCCTCCCAAAGACTCATGTATTCAAAAGTGAGGCTTTTGGAAGGCGATTAGGTCATGAAGGCTCTGACTTTCTCAGTGGATTAATACACGGATGGATTCATACGTTTATGGGAGGTGACAGAAATAAAGGTGAGTCCTGGTTGAAGAAAGTGGATCATGGGGCCTGAATTGGGGACCATATATGGTCGGTCTCCAGCTCTTGCTTCTCTGGCTCTTTCCTTCTTTCTGATTCCTGGCTGCTGTAGATTAGCAGCTTTTCTCTGCCATACCCCTCTGCCATAATGCTTCTGCCTCACCCGATGCCTAATCTAGGACTGAATGTTCTGAAATCATGGGCCAAAAGTAAGCCTTTCCTCTTATAAGCCGACTTACTCAGGTAATTTGTCACAGCCATAGAAAGGAGACACATTGGTCCAACACCACAACTCTGGAGGGAAAATTGAGGCCATTGGATGCATAGTTTTTCTGAGGCTTCAGGACTGGATCAGGGAAAGGGATCTTGGTGCCACCCTGACCGATGCCCTTTCTGCTCTCACTACCCACCCAGGCAGGGACCGCGTGTCCACACGTCACAGGTCAAGGTTATCTATTTCCCTGAGTCAAGTGCTGAATGGCTTTGGGAATTATCTTATGTTCTTTTATCTATAAGCTCCATGGATAAGACAAGTCCTGAAAACTACATTTATTTTACCTTTTCTTCTAGTTCTTTAATTTGTCTCTTCTGAGCTTCTATTCTTTCTTCTAACTCTTTAATTCTCTGAAATATTACAAGAAAGAAAACCTTCAGTCACCAGGGTATTTGGGAAACTAAGCCAACAAAAAGTCTTCCAAGATCATCTTTCATTTGGTGAACAAACAGCCATGGAATAGCTAGCATACTGTGGCCTGTGGCTAATAAGGCACACACAGCTGCCCCCAGGTCCTATCTTTGCTCCAAAGAGAGCAGAAGGCTTTCCCCATGGCTCTACCTCCTTTTGATTCCTGTAGATCAAAAATCATAATTCCCACAGGCAAAGAATCAGTCCACCACCCTTTCCCAAGTCACTGGAGCAGAGAAAACGGCAGCTAAAGGTCATAAACACTGTCCCTAAAGAAAACTTGCCTTCTGAGGGTAGGGCCCGGGGCTGTGGAAGAAGGTGGTGTTGACCACAACCCATCTGACGGGCTGAAGATGACCGTGCTTACCCTGACCCTTTTGGAGATCCCCCAGGCTGATAAGTAAAGGGACGGGCAGCACATGTCCTGATAGCTACTGAGTCTTATGTCAGATGATAGCCCACTGTCACAGTAAGCTGGTGTATAATGTGGTAGTTTATATTATCCAAACTCTTGCTTTTGTGGGCATTCTCAGCATGGTACACATCCATAGAAGCCAGTTCTAGGCCAACCCAGCATGATGGAGGGCTGGTGTGTGCATAAACACCAGAGCCATCCAGTCTGCCAGCATTCCTCACATCACATCTTGTTAAAACTGAACCAGCCCAGTGGCCCTGAGCCTACCAGCAGTGTGCCCAGACAATGCTCTTACTATCAAGGACCAGGGTCATGGAGAAGAACTGAAAGCCAGTGCTCCCAAACAGGGGACATATCACCAATGGGCTTCAGAAACAACCAGTAGGCAGGCAATCTGGCCAGAGGGTGGGGACATGAGTGTGGCCATGGGCATGGACACTGCAGACGTGGCCACTGAAAAGGCTGGCCATGGCAAGGTGTGGTCCTTGCTCTGGACACAGCCCTCCTGACCCGCACCAGTCCACGCACCTGCTGCGCCAGCTGCAGTAGCTCCATGCGCTCCCGCAGGATCTGAGCATCCCGCTCCCGCAGCTCACTCATGACTTGGCGCTTCCACTGCTCCACAGCCACCTTGAGCTTCTCACGCTCCTCTTCTGACAGCAGTTCTGCCATTTTGGCCCCAGCTTCTTGCTGCAGGGCATCGTACAGCATGGCTTCTAGCTCCAGGATGTGCTGGGGGATGAAGGGAGGTGCATTAGTTCTCTTCTCCTCCCGGCCCTCCCCAGGGCTGGACAGGCCTGCCTTTCAGGATAAGCAATGGAGGCCAGGTTGCCTTCCTTAGGGAGCCACAGTGTACACATGGGTCTCTGGTGGAAGGACCTAGGGCCTCAGATCTAGGGATTTCCCCCATCTAGCAGAAGACTCTAGAACACTGGTAGGAAACTTTTCAGAACATTCAGAGATTCAAACAGCCTGCTACATCAATCATATGAGCCATAGTTCTACCACAACTGCCCTAGGACAAGAGAAGCTGAGCTGTGAGATGCTTGTGAATACAGGGAACCCTCAAGTCGGGGCTGATGCCCTACTAAGAGGGCGGGAGAAGGACTGAGTTCTGAGGGGCCAGAAAAGCAGGAGGTCCTAGCTATCAGTCAAGGGCAGCATGGCCAGAAAATATGCCAGGGTCACAGCAAGACAGGAAAGGACAGCATCAGGGGCCGGTGTCACAGAGAACTAAAAGATGTGTTTCAACACTTCAGTTCAGGGTTGAGACCTCCATGAATGGATGGGAAATGATGACTTGCCATACCTCAGCCCAAATACAGCTTTTCATAAATCCCCAGGGTGTATCCCTTCAAGCTGGAGGTCTTTTAAACTTTTGGATATAGTCTTTGAGAAAACCATATTCTCATTAAGATTCTCATTTTGATGGGCCTTTTCTTCCCCATTAAAAATGTCACATTCAAAAATGGATCTTTTCTTCTGGCAAAGTAATTATGAAACTTCTTTATCTTAGTAGAAATTTAGGAAACTAAAAACCCCTCTTGGGTATCAGTTATGCTGCATTGTTAACAGCCATAAAATAAGCTGCCCCAGTGTGTTCATGACCCTATATCCATTGCCTCTTGTCAGAGTAAAAAAGCTTAAGATGCTTAAAACAAACCCTAGCTCATTCATTCTCTCTCTGTCTCTCTCTCTGTCTGTCTCTCTCTCTGTCTCTGTCTCTCTCTTTTTCTCTCTCTTAAATGGTACTAGAGGTTGAACCCATGGCATGCCAGGCAGGTGTTCTACCACTGAGCTGCCCCAGCCTCTAAGCTCTTGCCTTTTAAAAACAGTATGGGGAACACAGCCTCAAAGCTTCACATACACTTGCTAATGGAGACTTTGTCATGACTATCTCTATAGTCAGAACATTAAAAGGGCATGATCCATGGGTTACAAGGAAGGCTGCCTCTGCCTCCAGTGAAACTACACAGCCTTCTCTAGTTCTTTTATTGTAGAAACAAGGCCTGGACCAGCAGCACCCCCACAGAAGTCATAATCACAATGGATATGCAGTCTCCCTCCTGTATAAGAGCCAAGGTAACGGTACCGTGAGAAGAGTCATGCTTAAGCAGTGAGTTTTTAAAAGAAGAATGGCACTACAGAACAGGCAGCAGTATCACTACCATCATTACCACTGTCATCTCTGCCACCATCATCATCACAATTGTGACCACCATCACCATCACCATCACCTGTCATTATCATCACCATCACACTGACAGCTGGTTCCCAGGAACCAACAGTTTCAGCCCATCTTTCTGTGTTTTTAGGGCTGAACATAGACACGAGGGCTGGGGTCCTGCTTGCGTGATGGGGTGCTCAGGTGAATGCCTTGGTGGTAACTCTTCATACGCATCAGATCAAGGCCTGGGTACTTCTTGGTAGTGACTCTCTCAGATGTCAAGGGGGCGTCAAGGAGTTCAGTAGAAAACAACTGCATGTGACTGATGGTGACTGTTGTGACTGAGAATCCAGACTCCTGTAAGGGATGCCTGGCAGCTCCTGAAAGGGTAAGTCTAGCTCTGCTCTATGCTCAGCCTAGCAGTGCCCTATGCTCATGCTAGTCAAGGCACACAGAGCAGAACAAGGCCACACTCTCTGCCATGAGCAGGCAGGTATAGCAGAAATCCTAGGAAGATGGTCACTGGCCTCCCCAGTGGCTCAAAGCAGGAAGGAGACATCAGGCTACAACAAATTCTGAGAAGCATTTATGAGCACTGGATAGCATGGATTAGTTCTTCTTCTCAACCAGTCCTGCTCCATGTATGAAGGGATGAGTGAAGAGCCAACCAGGTTGCTCTGCAGAGCCAAGGCCTTGAGGGGTAGGTGCAGATTACCACAGGTTAGTAACACATGCTGCTTCAGGATATGGTGCTGTCCCTAAGTGCACAAAGCTTCTTGGACCCCAGGTGCATATGGCACTATTCTGTCCCTGTCATGGGGTCAAGCAGGGCATAGATGGACATGAAAACCCTCTCATGTCACATGACTTCATCCTGCCAACTTGAGGATTATAATGCATTGCTTGATTTCTGTGTACCTCTTGAAACAGAACAGTAGACATTCAAATGACCTCAGTGACATTCAGGTCACATTCAGGTGATCTCAATGAGGACTGAGTCAAAGTGACAGAAATAAGTATTGTTATGATTTGGATGTGGTTTGCGTGTCTCCCTGGATGGCTCATGCTGCAAGCTTGGTCCCAGAGTGGCAGTGTGGAGGTGGTGGCGTCTTTCAGAGGTGGGACAAATGGGAGGTCATGGGGGCACTGGTGTGCAGCCCTTGGAAGGGATATAAAAGGTATAATAGTTCTCGTGGGATGGGATGTTAGTTAATTCCTGGGAAAGTGAACTGAGATAAAAAGAGCAAGTCTGGGTCCTGAATCCCTTTGACTTTTGGTCTCACCAGATGATCTCTCTTTGTCTGTCTGTCTGTCTGTCTCTCTCTCTCTCTCTCTCTCTCTCTCTCTCTCTCTCTCTCTCTCTCCTATTTGCCTCTGGGCTCTCAGTGTAAGCCCCAAGGGGGGGTCATTACTCTTAGGTTTATCAGCAGGGGAAATGGTTTCCCAAGGGGTAACTTGATATGCAGTACAGGTAAAATTTGAACTCTTTCAAATGGTGAGTAACAAAGCAGAGCTCTTCATGGAATGATGTTACCTATTAACACTCAGTTATGTGCGGTTACAAAAATACCAAATCATAACAATTTGGTTTGCAAACAAAAGCATTCAGCAAAATTTTGGTTCTGTTTGAAAACTGGGCTGGGTAACAAACACAACCACAGTCATATTCCTCACACAAACAGAAACGCATCCGTCTCCACAGTTGTAAAACAAATTAAGTTTGTAAACTGAAGCATCATTGTAATTTGTAAGCACACTATTTTCCAGTGAATTTTATTTATCAACTCAGCTCACATATCCATGTGAGTTTTTATGTGTCTGCACCCTCAAAGTCTTTGATGACAGAGCAGTCCACCCTCAGAATTCACAGGAAAAGGGGTTTTGATAGAGAAGGGCAAACAGTGACCCTGCAATGAGCTCGGGCACCATCCATCAAGGCTCTGAGTCCTGGCTTATGAAGGTAGCTGAGACACATCTCTGAGGATGTGAGCACACTCTTAACCACATTTTTCTTACCTTGTGGGCTTGGTCGAGGGCCTGCTTCCTGTAGTCCAGCTCCTCATCCAGGTAGCCCTTCTGTTTACTGAACAGCTCCTGAAAAACAAAAAACAAAACAAAACAAAATACAAACAAAAAATGACCTGCACCTTGGCCTCTGACACCCTGCCTGGAGATGCTGAGCTGCAGGGACACCAGGGGGAGACACTACTAACCTTCTCACTCTCCAGGTCCACCATCTTCCGCTGCAGTGCTGACTCGGTCTCTTCAATCCGCTGGAGCCACTGGGCACAAACAGAATGAGTGGTGACAGTGACATAGACACCAATCCCCCCTCCTCCCCTGGTTCCATGGAGACAGCCTGAGAGGGGAGGGGAGCTTGGGCTGGGGTGGGGCCATGGGATCCATGTACCTCTCTGGTCCTGGCCCCATCTCTCTACCCTCCCAGTGTCTAGCAATTCTGCTCCCACACCTTCCCCAGGAGTGAAGAGACTTTAGCTTGGGATGCAGCAGGACCAGGCACATCTGTGGAGCTCTGCCAGGAGAGCTGGGGAGGGCCAGCTCATTTACTTGAATCCCTGTTTGCCAGGAATATCCCATCTCCCACTGCTGGAGCTCTGACAGTGGCCCACGTGGTAGATCTTGGAGTGGGCAAAAAGTGGGCTGTTGGGCTGGGCAGCTCAAAGAGGAGACCTGGCAGGTCAGTCAGGGAAGGGGAAGACAGTTTTACAGACACTATATAGCTTCCAGCCCTTGAGAAAGAATGAGACATTGGCAACGTTTGGCGGAACCTGCCTTTGCAGAGATGCTCAGTGCACACTAATCTCCCAAGGTGACAGGACTTCACACCCTGTGCTCCTTCCTCCCAGGAGAAACATCTTCCCTGGGGTGTGCAGGGCTGAATGGGGCTGAGCAGGGAAAGGGCCAGCCCTCTCCTCAGTATCCATGCAGTTGCTGTTACCTTCTCTGCCAAGGTCAAGACGGTTCTGGCTTGGATGACAACCACTTGCTCCTCATTGGTCAGATTCTGCATCCGGAAGTAGAAAACACATACAATTAGAAGCAGTGCCTTCCCAAAGAGAGGTTGAAGGATGGATGAATGGTGAGGCTGATGAGATGCGTGGAAGGGAGATGGGGTTGCAGCTAAAATATGCTTTTACTGAAACATCCTCCTGGAACCTCTGCTACCCTTAGTCTCCCCCCTGTTTGGGAGACACTCCACTTCATCGTGTCACTGCTGGAACCACAGAGGTGTAAGGGAAGAGCTGGGGCAAGTTCACCAGCAGGGAAACCTGACTGCATCTTGGGGACAGGGGCTTCCCAATTCTGCCCTTTTCCTGACCTCTTTAAAGTCAGTACTTTGCATCTGAAGCATCGAGGGAAGATCAAGTACCCATGACTATGAAATAGCTCCAATCCCTGGCATTTTATCTGTTTTTCTGTGTGTTTTATTCATACTTTGTCTTTCAGGGCATAGTCAGTCTGGTTTTTGGGCAAGAGGAGCATCCTCCAAGGTTGTGGGCTCTTCACACAATCGTAGCCCAGCCGTGTCTTGCATTATGGTCTGGCTGCCTGGCCCCTGTGCCTGGGACACCAGGAGTGGTGCAGATGAAGAGCAGCAACTGGAGCAGACCCTTGCTCAACCCCAGAATCTCCCCGATTCAGAACAGGCCTTAGAAAACCCTGTTTATACCTCTCTTCCTAGAGTGTGAGATATCTCTTGCTTTCCTCCACCTCCAAAGACAACACAAGGTCTCTCAAGTGGGGGCTGACAGCTGCAGGTCTGAGGCCAGCATGGTGTCATCGGCCAGGACTAGGGCTGGGCCTGGTGCTTTGGAAGCCTGCCAGGCTGCTGACAGCTCCCTCCTCACAGGACAGAGCTGGGAAGGTTACAGGTGTCCCCCACACTTCATCTGACGGCAGGAGAATGGAGGGGGAAGGCTGAGTAAGCGCCTTCAGGGTGACTAAGGGAATGGATGTGGATTAGGATAAAACCCACGCGTGGTCCACGCAGGCTGATGGACCCCAGCATCCCTCTGGGTGAGCAGCTTGGCCCTCAGATTCCCTGGGGCCCTTTGCTTCAGCGAAGCTCCATCTGCTCTGCCTTACAGCCCCTTCTTCCCTTCTCCAAGTGATCGGGCCCTGCAGCCCATTTGGGGCAGCACAAGTGGTACCACCTGCTAGAGAGGATGGGCCTCGATACTGCACCTGAGGCCCTGGTTCCTGAGGAAACAGGCAGGCAGGAGCTGCTCTGGGGTTCAGGTTTCCATGAAAGTGACCATACCGTTCACTAGAGCTGGCCTAAATGTGGCAGCCTTAGCACTAGCATGACCTGTAGGTGACAGTTGCCTATTTCATCACTGCCACTTTGTGCTCCAAGAGGGGACCTGCAGGCTCCGACTCCAAGGAGCGTAGTCCTGGATCACAAGGTAGATATGAAGTTTGCCTGACCAAGATTGCATGGTTAGAAATAAAGGGACGCCCTCTTGGCCCATCAGCAGGAACTACCAAGAGTCCCCACAGAGTCCTCTGAATATAAAACCTGGCCATAGGCCCCCCCACCCAGTCCCCAAGTTCTTCTATCTTTGTGCTACGGGAGAGTGACCTCAGAGGCTGTGTGACTGGGAGAGGAGAGGAGCCCTGAAACAGGACTGGCCAAGACTACCACCTTAACTCTGCTATGCATCAGATCTATGAGTGTAGCCTGATGCTTTCTGTGCTGTTAGCTTTTCCAGCTGTGAATCAGGGGGTTCCCAGTATGACTCCAAAGAGCTCATGATGGGGCCTGATTCCTATGATTGGACCCCAGGGCATCCTGCATGTACAGGCCTGCCCGCTGTAGGGTATGGTGGTGCTTCACTACCTGTGGCAGTGATAGACTACCAGGCCTGGGCCAGGGGCAGACACAGTCAGAACACCCTCCCTACAGGGCACTTCTTCCCATTATGCTCCCCACTGCTGTCCAGGAAATGGGCAGGCAATGAGGCAAAGGATTTCTGTCCTGGGAAAGTCCTGCACAGAGGTCAGAGAAAGTGAGTGTGGGAAGATGGATGGAGGATGGGTGGATGGATGGATGGATGAGAGGATAAAAAATGGATGCATGATAGATGGTGGGTGGATGGATAAATGAATGGATGGCAAATAGAGAAGGGAAGAAAGGAAGAGGGGAGGGAAGGGGGGAAGGTAGAGCAAATGGATGGATACATGGATGAATGGATGGTGGAATGACGGATGGAGGATGGGAGGAAGGGGTGCAGTTACTTTGCTCACTTAATAATTAACATTCTTTTGAGAAATGTGCTGCTTAAATTGGAACTCTGTCTCAAACAAGATTCGGGGATTATTTATAGTCTGCTTCTTCCCCCCAAATCAAGGAAACAAGACTCCCCAAGGGTCCTGGTTTCTAGAGCAACAACTCTCATCCCCTTTGGGATCACACGAGAGCAGAAAGAGATTCCAGGCACTGAGAACACGTACTGGAAGCACCATTAGCTGAAGACACAGCAAAGGCCTGGCAGCACCGGAACAATACGAGGGATTTCTCCAAATGCAGAGGTTCCAAACAAGCTGTGGGCCTGGCTGGCGATGGAGGTGGGTTTTTGGGCAGGGTGGCCTAGGTGGGACTGCAGTGAGACTGACAGGGGGCCTCTGGACCACAAAAGGCTGGGCTGAGGTGGCCGCATGAAGGGCATGCTAGCATGCACAAGTCAGGAGAGTAACCTACACTTACGGCGTTATCCCCCAGGATGTCCAGCTTCTTCATCAGCTCCGTAACCAGGATGTCCTAGGAGGCAAGAGAGGCACTGGTGAGCGGCAGCCAGGGGAGACTGGGCTGACAGAGGCAGGAGAGGGCTTTACCGTCACGCCTTCAGCCTCACAGTACACCTGCAGGGGGCTCTTCCCATCCACGAAGGGCGTGTGGTGGAAGTTGATGGCAGGCGACTTCCTCTCCCTCTCCTAAGACAGAGAGCAGAAGGGGGGGCATGGCAGAATGTCCTCACCTCTCCTCCCTCCACTCAGAGAACAGGGGTCACAACTACACAATGAGGAGTCAACACGGTTTTTCTGAAAACTAACCCCCTGCAGATGCCTTGATGGCAGAACCCTCACTGAGCTTGCCCAGGAAGACCACCTCTGTGTGTGTGTGTCCACTCCCGATGGATACGGGGATCCTGGCACCAGCAGGCTCTGGCTGCTTAGCCTTTGTGGGGATCACGCAGAGCCACTTGCTCATGCACTGGTTAAGGGGGGCTGTCGGAGGCTCAGGGGAGAGGCCAAATATGGGCAGTGACCCATGGGCCTGCCAGAGCAAATTGTCTACATGGACTGGCTACATTGTCCTCCTACCCCAGGGAGGTGGACAGGAGGACTCTGAGAAGCAGATCCATGTGGACTCTGGGACACTGAACCCAGATGGAGGATAGAGCTTATAGGGTGACTATGAGGGGTAATTCCTGCACAGCGCTGCACAGGTCACTGCCTCCAAGCCTCACAGACGGGCCACACTGCCTGGCCACTGTAACAGTGGAAGGTGAGCACAGCGATATGACCCCACCCACACCCAATCTGATCTTCTCTGAAGGATCCTTGCTCCCTCCTTCCCTTCTCTGCTGGTCACAGCAGAGAGCCTGCGGCCAGGGAAAGTAAGGCACAGCTGGAGGGTGCCTGATCATTACATGGCACCCTCCATTACTACTTACAGGCCTCTGTGAGTAAGAAATAAATGTCTGCTGCAACCACTGAGTTCTGGGCACGGTCCCTGCCATTCATCATCACCAATGCCTCAGTGACAAGCTGCAAACATTGCCATGACTGTTGAGGCCTCACAGATCTAGGTACAGACACTGGTATTTGGGGGTGATTGCTTTGTTTTTCTTTTGCCTTGGTGATACTGAGTTCCACGCCCATGCCCTGAGCACTTTGCCTCCCTGGCTCCATCCCTCCTAGGAGATGCAATTTAAAGCACCTGCCCCTTTCCTCTCCAGCCTGGCTTTGGGTTGCTTTTCAAAGGCCCATAAGGGTTCAGAGGTCCAGGGAAGGCAGCCTGTCTCAGGGCCCTGCAGCTGTGAGCCAGCTTAGGGCGAGCCTGCCGCCCCACAGCCTCTACCTCGAGCTCCAGGATCCTGAACTCCAACAGTTCATTCTGGTCCTTTGCATCCTGAACATCATGCTTCAATCGGGCCTCCTCCACTTCCATTTGTTTTATCTGAAAATTAGAAGATGATCAAGCTGAAGGGAACCTAGTTCTTTTTCCCCAGAGGACGTGGAAGGCCAGCTCTTGACCTTTCTGCACAGCTGCCATCTTCATGGGAACAGCTGACTGGCCTGGAACATAGCCCTGAATCTGTCTCACACTGCATGTATCTCTGAGAGTTTGGTCCAGCTTAGGTTTGGGTCTGACCCGGTGAGACTGGACGAACCTTCATGCTTTAGCAAAATGGAGTAGGAGGCGCTGGGTAGGCAGGGACAGGTGAAGAGAGCAGGAAAGCCTTGAAGCCCAAGAAGAAGTTGTGAGAGAGATGTGAGGAATGGAGGGGCTGTCAAGGCCTCCCTGTATGGCTCCTGGAATCAGCCTAGCCCTGAGCACACCAGGACACAGCTGACTGATGGGAGGACCAGGATGAGGCTGCCTGGCCATGCTCTAGAACTGATGTGGCTGGTTAAGGGACTCTGTATACAGAGCTGCTGATGAATGAAGCTGATGGCGGCTCATGCCTTCAGAAAAGTAAAAGCAACACAGCCTGTGGCACACATCTTCAGCGGCCTGACGAGGGCAGGCTGTCCACTGTGGGCTGTGTCCTTGCTCCCAAGAACCAAACCTGAGGGGCCGAAGGGCATGCTATGATGTGCAGAGGGTGGGGAGGATAGGAGGAGGGACACTGGCTTCCTGTGAGTGAGCTGATTCAGGCGAGTGCTGGATAGTTCCTTGGTGCCAACTGCCCAGCTGTGAAGTACCCGCAGGGCCAGCAATAGGACCCTGAGCACAAGGTAGCCAGAGAAGAGTACAGATTTTAAGCATGCATGTGAGTGAGCATGCACACTGTTTGTTTGTGCATGGGTTAAAGTGGGAACATGAACGTTTAAATGTGCGTGTGTTTAAGTGTGAGTGTGCTTAACTGCACACGAGCATCTCTACAGCATTTAAGGAACATATATTCAAGTGTGTGTGTGTGTGCGTGTGCATGTGTATATGTAAATATTTGGGTGTGCAGTGATATATTTGAGTGTATACTGATAATGGAGTCCCCTGTATGAGCTTTAATGTTCCCACCTGCCATTCTGTGTCTGCACCCACAGTGACCATTGCTTCTTACCTCATTGCACGCCCCACTTAGATGGTCCTAAGCTGCCCAGATGACGTCTAAGACATCACTCACAGTTTAAGACTGTGAACCTCTTCTTTAACCAGCTCATGGGATGGGCTGAACTAAGGAGATGGCATGATATTGAAGACAAATGTCCTTAGACTGTAAGTCAAGCTTGTCCTGGTTGTGCAAGCCTTGGAGATGGTGTGGTGATACCAGGAAGAAGCTAAGGTTGTACACCATATTTCCTGACTTGTTTTAATCAAGTAAGATATTCTAATCAGTGAATCCCAGCCTGGGAGTGGGAAAAAGTGATAGCATTCTCGGGTCTAGAGGCCATGAGAGCCCATAAGTGGCCCCTGCCATGTGTTTGCCTAGTCGAATTAGAAACATAAACAATCGTCCAGAAATAAAAACCTAGATTCACTTGTGGTCTCTCAAAGGGGCTGTCGCCTGAGGATCATTCAGCCTTTGTGATGAACATTCCCTACCCCAACATGACTTCCAACAGGGTAGTCAGGAGTTTCAAACGGGCAGCTCTTTCCAAAGATTCTCTGACCATCTACGGAGCCACAAATAAAGGCATACTGTAGATACAGGGCTCTGCTGGACTTGGAGGAAAGGCCCTGTTCCTTCCCCTTAGTAGACAAAGGAGTAACTAGGTTCAGGGTCCCAAAGATGAGGCACAGAAGAGCTAAGGACCTCTGCCAAGCCTGTGGCCACTCCAGAGGACCACCCCGTGCCCCATAAGTGCAGGGGAATCTTGCAACGGCCTTGGGCTTGGGTGTACCTTTTCTACAAGCTCTTGATTTCTTCGATACAATGCTTGCTTCTCTTCAATCCACTTCATATCCTTGAAAATATAATTGAAATAAGGATATAAATACACAGCAAGAGAAGAGTATAAGGCCATTTTCACATCACGGTTGGCCAGAACAAAGCCTACACCAGCTTCTGCTATAGCCCATAGTGATGGTCTGTGGTACACAGAGAGTGGAAACTAGTGGGTCTACCTGTCTTCCCTGAGAGTCCTGTAGAGAGCAGACGGAGGCAGCCCTGCTTTGGGAGGATGTTCCAAGGGTGTCATGTGCCACCACACAGACTGCCCTCAGGCCCAGTCCCCAGGCCAGGTGCCCAGAGGCACATGGTACAGCATGGACAAGGCATGGCCACCTGATCCTGACACAGGGCCAGTGAGGACTCAGGTTGTGAAGGAGACCGAGGGCACATGGGAGACAATGGAGCATGTAAGCTGTAGTCCTGTCCACTCACACTCAGGACACACAGGTGGATGGCAAGGAGACATAGAGGCCTCTTGATCCTGTCTGGAGGTCCCACTTGGCAGGAAATTCAGTGCACCTGGCTTACACTTGTTTTACCCAGACACCCTTCCTATCTTCCCTGACACCAGTGGCATTTTAAACTTTAAAGCAGAGTTGGGAGGAGAGCAGGATGCCTCTGACAGTGGCTTCATTGCACAATTCTTGCCCACAGAGTGAGCTGCAAGGTGTGGTCAAGTCTGGAGGACTCACCCTGCCAAGGGACGAAGTATCGTATCCTCCTCCCCTTTTCAGTTCCAACCTCCCTGGCCACTTTTCTTCTTTCAACACAAACAATAGGATGGCAGGATCTGGGACATGACCCTAAACATTAGATGGAGTCTTAGGAATGTCCTTATGACATGTGAGCTGGGGCCACCCCTTGGCAAACAAGGGCAATGAATGGTACTATTCAAGTGTCATTGGCAAAAGCCCACATTCCCTGGTGGTGGTGGGAAGTGTCAGATAAACAGAAAGGTGCCACAGTGCTGAATTTTGGGATATGGGGAGGTGGCCTGGCCACTGTTCTCAGTGTCCTTTTGGTTCATCTATCAGTTAACATATGAAGGATACTGTGGGCCAGGCACTGCGCAGGACATAACCCAGGGAAGCATGCCCGGCTCTCAGAACAAGCTTTCCCCAGCCCACATAAACATCCTCCAGCTTTGTCTCAGGCCCAGTAAGTCAGAGAGTGATGTTCAGGCACTGAGGCCACTGAGAACAGATGTCCCCCATGGGACCTGAAGAACCTAGAGGTGGCTGCTGTACAGTAGTGTGGAGAGGAACACCCTCCTGTCTGGTGACAAGCTACTGCCCAAGCATGCAGGCTTGGAGTCAGCACATTCCCAGCTCCTGTCCCTCTTGGGAGGATGAGCTCCATGGTTTACAAGTGGGCCTCTGGGTTGGGAAGTTCCTCCTGGGCACCACCTGGGCATTCAGCCAGGTCAACTTTGCTCTACCTTACTCTACCAGGAGCCCCAGATCAGGAAGTCTGCGGCTCCTGCCAGTGCAGCTTAGGGCTTTTTTTTCTGGGGTCTGCAGCAGGAGCGATGGGACCTGAAATCCTGACCCTGACTCAGAGGACTAATGAGATATGCCATGGTCAAGCCCAGCAGAGGCCCTGTCCCATTGTTGGCAGATTTCTACCTTATTTGCAGCTTGCCATGGAATTCCTTCCAGTACTTAGAACTTTCAGTGTAGGGAGATACCCTGCAAAACATGCTAAAGCTACTAATTTTCAGCATGTGTTGAATAATTCCTACCTAGGTCCTCCCACCCTCCTAAATGAGAGGCATGGCCGTCCCCAAGGGTCAGATTCCTCCTAAGACCCCCTAACATGGGCAGAGGATGCCAGCACCCATGAGCGCCATGGGGAGGAGCTCACCTGCCCCTGTTCCGCCAGTGCCTTCTCCAGATCCTGCACCCGTGTCTGTGCCCTCTGCACCTCTGCTTGCAGCTGCTCACGGGTCTGTAGGACAGGAGCAAAGACACATTAAATTTTCCCTAACAGCCAGGACAGACAGACATGCTCACAGGGAGGCAGGCTTCAGAGGATACTGCCTCAGACCTACTCCTGAGAGTAACTGTCCTCTCCTTTAAAGACACAGTTTCCAAGAAAGACAGAAGCTGTGTAAGTGAGTGACTTCACCTAGGGCATGGCAGAAAATATCTGTGGACTAGTTCTGAGAGCTTCTTAGGTAAAACCCTTGTCTGTAGGGTGAAACAAGTGGCAAGGACTCCTGGGTCTGTGCACTGAGTCTGCTGATGCTGGGCACACTGGCGGGAAGGGCTTTCTGAGATAATCTGTGGAGCTTGGCATCATGCTGTTGCTGGCCTGGGGTTCACTGCTTTTCTGCACCTAGCATCCCTAACCCTACATCCCCAGCTCCTGTCCCTCATGAGAGGATGAGCTCCACGGTTTACAAGTGAGCCTCTGGGTTGGGAAGTTCCTCCTGGGCACCACTTGGGCTTTTAGCCACGTCAAGCTGCCCTTTCTTGATTTAATGAACTCTCTCTAGGTCCAAACCAGGAACACTTTATCCTATACACTACCCTTGTTCTCGCTGGGTGCAGTGTCTGGGGCAAACAAGTATTAGACTTCAGGGTACTGGGGCTGAGGTTCATCGCCCCAGCAGGGCAGAGCCAAATGTGTGACTCACAATCTTAGGGCAATTTTGCCCTAGGACAGAGCTCTGGTCCCCAGAGCTCTGGTCCCCACCCTCAGGATGACTGAGACAGAGACTATGTCTGACATTTTCCTTTATCCTAATATCATGCAAAATTTAAATTAAAAAATTAAAGAGGGAACATTCAAATTCCCTTTTTACACGGAGAAGTATTTTTTGTTTCCTGATTTTCAAGCTGGGGGAGGGGAAGTCACCTACAGACAGGCAAGCCTTTACCCACCCAGAGCATTGAGAGGGCACAACAGGGAAGGCCTTTGCTTCAAGACTTCATAACAGGTGACCTTAATGAAATTTCCAGAAAGCAGGAGGGGGACATCTTGCCACATAAGCAGGATAGTCAGGAGGCTCCCTGAGAGCAGGTAGGAGGATGCATCTGGAGTAGAGGGTACTATTACTGTTCCCTCATCCTGAGAGATTTGTCCTCTACCCAGACCACAGCCCTAAGTTGAAGAATCATCAGGTGATGATGTCTCTTCTCCTGCAGAGTGGTTAGGGAAAGCAGAACTGACTGCCACACCAGACGCCACCGGTGCCTGCTCACGAGAGCTCCTCACCTCTCCAGGAAGAGGTCTGTCTCCCTGCATGGTGCACAGTCACAGCACCTTCTCCTGATAAGCACTGCCTAGGGTTGGAGCAGCAAGGGAACTCCTTCCCTCTTCCCACACGTGGCCTGGTGCTGACTCTGCCCCTGGAAGCCAGCAGAGTGCTCCAGCAGAGGGCGCCTGCCAGCCCAATCTTCCTAGATGCCAGCAACTTGCTCTGGGCACATTCAGGGAGAGGGCTATGCCACTCAAGACAGGCCCTGAGCTCAAGATTTGTTACCTAAATGAATAATCTCAGCAAGTTTAAAAAAATAAACAAAAACTAAACTCAAATGCTGCCTCTAGTTTATCTCTTGTGTGTCCTTGTTATGGGAGCTTCCTACAGGCACTCCAGCAGGTATGGGCAAAAGATGACTTTGTCTTAGGGTTTTACAGGCTCCAAGTGCACTGGCCACAGCTCCTGGCAGAGACAAATGTGGCTCTTCAAGAACCCTCACCCTCATCAGCCTAGGGATGTTCCATCTGGGGGTTCCACAAACACTGATTTTTAATGGCCTCACTGAGGATTGTCCAGAAATGGCAGTAATCATGAGGGAAGGGGCTTGGCCTGAAAGTTTGGGCACATGTAGAGTCTGCCCGGGCCACAGGGATAAGCAGGAAGGAGCTGAGCGGGAGCTGGAGCATCGTGGAATAGAAGTCATTTAGACCTTAACTTCTCGCTCTGCATCCAGTGTTCCTCCAACCTGCTCCTGCAGCAGGGCATAGGCTCGCTGCAGCGCCTGGTACTCCATGGTCAGCTGGCGGAACCGCAGCTCTGTCTCCTCTTTGGCCATGCCCTGGATAGGCACGCAGCACCACATGCACACAGAAAGAGAGGCAGCATTAGCACGGGCTCCACACCACAGCACTGTCCTGGACAGCCAGAGCTCCCGTTCTTCCCAGAGAGGTACGATGGAGTTTTTCTGGCAGCACAAAGTGGGAAGGCCCTCGGCAACACGTGGGGAGCATGCTTTAGAGAAGGTTCCTCTGGAGGTGACCTCCGAGCCTGAGCTGGCCATGCAAAGGCAAAGGTGAAACTTGTGGGTCAAAGGTGAAACTTGTGGGTTGGCGACAAGTAGCCAGAGGCTCAGCTAGGGCTCAGACTTGTCAATCTGTCTACTCTGTCCTAGTTGGACCACTGTTACTGACCAGGATCCCACATGGCTCTGTCCTGAAGAAATGTGTCATGGAGGATATGCTGGGGTATATGAAAGGAGTACATAGCCAAACAGCACATTTCTTCCAGGTCTGTCTGCCCCAGGCCTGTCCATCCCAGGCCTGTCCATCCCAGGCTTGCTCCTGCAGTTATATGCAGGATTGTCCTTCTAGCTCCAATGACATCTGTGATCCCAGGGAGAGGCAGGTGCAAGCAGGCCTGTCGTTGCCTTGAAAGAGTCCCTAGGACCCTAGAGTTGGGAGAGTGGGCCATGTTCAGGAGTGACCAAGCTCAGAAATCCTGCCCTGGTTCTACCTCCCCATACCATTGCCTCCTCTCTGAGGCTTGCTGGGTTATCTGATTTCTAAGCAGGTCCATGGTCTTTGACCATGGACTGGCCAGGACAGGCTCCATTCATGTCCTTGCCACTAGACCTGATCAAGACTGTGGACACCACTCTCTGACTACAGCCATATGAGTTGGGCCAGTAGGTTAGTCCTTGGGTGTGGTGGAGGGGTTGAGTCAGCTGGTGGATTTGAGGATGGCCATCATTCCAGCAGTGGGGAACATTCGGCTGTCTTTATCAGAAAGAAAGCTCCTCTCAATGACTCTGGGGCCCTGATGCATGCTTAGCACCCCTGCAGGGTGGCCTGGAACTTCCTGAGAAGCCATGGAAGAGTGTGGTGAGCCCTTTTATCTGTCTTGCTGCAGGAGGGAGTCAAGCTTGATGGCAGGGAAGATGTGTGACTGAGAACTGATGGAATCAAGAAGCAACCCTCAGCAACCAGGCAGCCAAGAAATGAAGATAATCTTTGTCACTGTGCAAAAGCATGGGTTACCAAGAGTGTGGGCTGGAGAGGCCCTTGTGGGGAGCAGGGTTCACGTGAGATCCTGGTCCCAATCCCACTCTACCTTATGTCCCATTCTGCCACTATGTCCCATAAAAGCTGGCAAGCCCAACAACTACTTCAGAAAACCCACATTACCTCCTCCAAGTCATCATCTGGTGTGCAAGGGGTCTGGTCTGTCCTGTCAGTTTGATAAGAGATGGAAGAACCATCGGATTCCAAGGAAGCTTCTTCATCATATCCGAAAAAAGTCTCCACGACAACTGGCTTCTGACCAAAATGTGACATGTTAATGCTTGACCAACAACCTTAGGCCTCTTCCTACATTCTCTTGTTGCCCAGCTGTGGGGGCCATGGCTGTGAAGCTGTCCAGCCATTGCATGGCCCCACCCTGCAATGCACTGCTGTCTTTGTCTGAAGCTGCCTTTGGGGAATCTGGGGGGCTGCCCTGCTTCAGGGCAAGATGGTGGCTTAGGTGTGAACATGCCATCTTGGTTGTTCCAGGAGCTGACTGGTGGAGAGTGGAAGGAGAAATGACTAGCATTTCTATGGTAAATAGCTTCTGGACTTGACCTTCACACATGAACCAATATAAGACCAACAATGAGCACTTCCTCTGATGTATGGTTACTTTTCCAATTATAAATTTCTGTTGTACTCTTACAAATATCAATTCTTGACATATTGGAATAGAAACCAAAACAAAACGAGTCCTCCATGGCCTAGTTTGAGAGGCCTTGTCTTTCGGAATCCCCTGGGGTCCCCTACTTCTTTTGTTTGGTGCTGGGGTTGTAGCTTAGTGGTAGAACACTTGTCTAGCACACAGAGGTCCAGGGTTCAATCCCCAGCATCTCAAAAGTAAACAACAGGAACAATAAACTCTTAAGTTTCCACATCTTAGGTTTTAGAAATATTATAAATTCAAAAGCTGGCCACCTTTTTTCAGTCACTTAGGGTCCCTTGCTTGGTCAACTCCATGAGTTAGCAATCTATGCTATGGCTGCCAGGCTCCCCATTAGATTCCCCACTAGAACCTTTTAAGCAAGCTCCTCCTTGGACCCCAGGACCACCAGTTACCCTGCAGACCACTTGTCCCTGTCCCCATGCCCTTCCCAGATACCTGCATCTTCTAATCACTGACCAAAGAGAACTCTGGGCTATTCCCTGGTCCTCCTTGATCCCCCCTGCCGCTCCAGCAGACTGACCACTGACATTTGCTGAATTGAGCTGTGGCCTCTCTGAGAAAGTCTTTTCACATACTTCAATCTTTTCCTAGATCCCCACTGAAATACCTAGAAAACAGGTACACTAGAGCACAAACTCAAGGTTCTTTCACTGAATTTCCAGCCCCTGTCATTGCCTGATTGTCCATCTTCAACCCTGCCAATGTCCTGGCCTCTGCCTGTCATCCCATGTTTGGGTGGGGGGAGGCCTTTTCTTGTCACCCAATGTCCAGTTGGAGGCCTGGCCTTTTACTTTCATCCGTATCTGGCTTAGCTTCCTCCTGTCACCTCATGTGTGAGAGGAGCCTGGCCTTCTGTCACCCTAATCCAGCGAGGCTTGGTCTCTTCCAATCATTCAGGCATCCTCTGTCTGGATGCCAGCTGCTCCTATATCCCTGACACTCCACCTTCCTCTTTTCAGGTTTTAGTAGCATCCTGATTTCTCCTCCTGCTGATCTGTCCCATTGAGGACATGAGATGTCCTTCTTTGCTGAAGCGTCCTTGGCCCCTTCATGTTCCAGTTCTTCACTGTTCAAAGGTCACCGCACTGAGTTTTCCACAGCCTGACCCTAGGCCTTCTGTTTTCAAGGCTGATTTGCCTAGCTTCTCCTTTTCCCACAAAACCTGGACAGTGTGAGTAACAGGGCCTCTGGGTATCCCAGTGCCCTGCAGTGATCCCAAACAGAGAAGGGCCATGGCAGCATTTTTTTTCCTTCAAGCCTTTAAGAGGGCCAAACAATCAAGTGTCTCAGCTGAGGAGTATCTCCTGGGCCACTGAAGAGCACTGCACAGTGTTTAAAAACAACACACAGAGGCTGGACGTGATGGTGCGCACCTGTAATCCCAGCACTCGGGAGGCTGAGGCAGGAGGATCACTGTTTTGAGGCCAGTTTGGGTTACAACATGAGTTCAAAGCTAGCCTATACTACATAGTGAGACTCTGCCTCAAAAAGTTAAAAAATAAATAAATAAAAATAGCATTCACACATATTTTACAGAGAGTTGGAGACAAGTTAGGACCTTTGGGAATTTCCCCAGTGATTCCTTTAACAAAAATCAGTTTATCAAGAAGGATTTTACTGCAGAGAAATTCCCTTAGGGCTTCAGCTTTGCTAGGGACGCAGGCCTGCTGTGTGGGGCCTGTGTGGGCTACTACTGCCTGCACAAGTCACTGACCTCAACAACTGGCTGTGTGGCAAGTTCTGGATCCAAAAGCATCAACCAAAAAAAAAAAAAAAAAATGGGGCTGGGGATTTAGCTCAGCGGCATAAGCACCTGCCTTGCAAGCAGGCAGTCGTGAGTTTGATTCCTGGTACTGATAAAAATGAAAAAGACCAAAAAAAAAAAAGCATCAACCACAGTGGTGAAACCACCCACTTCCTCCCCAATTTGCCCAGAGACTGAGGCTGTGCCTCCTTTTTTTACAAATGGTACCAGAACAATCAGCATGCCTGACTGGCAGTTTGAGGTGTGTAAACACAGCCACCACCTTGGAGTTTGAGTTTGGTGTCCTCTGGATTGCAGCCCTAATGGGCTCCAAACAAACATAATAATTCTTTGTTTTCAGTTAGGCTGATTTGATCTCAATTAACAAAATTTAAATTTATATACAGGATGTTGGAGTATTATTTCGATTATTTCAGAACAATAACTCTTAGAAGTAATAAAGCTATTTTCTTTACATCTCCAAAGAAAGTCATTCCTAAAAATTTTTCTGCAAACTCAAATTTTATGTCCACGCATGCCAGAGAACCCTCTTTTACCTTGGGGAGTTTTGCCATTTTCTTCCTTTGTTTCCGATACCTTAAAAGCTTATCACGCTCCTACAAAAAAACAGTTGGAAAGATTTTTTTAAGTAGTTAACAGCTCCATCCATTTCTTAATGTTTCACTATTATCATCTGGAACAGGTATGGAAGCAGTCTGAAGACTGGCAGGTTGTCCCCGTGGTCATAAACACGGGGTGTTTTGCCCAGAAATCTGGGGTAGCTCTTCCTGTCTGCCAGCCTGAGACACGTGAGCCTCCATTTTTGTATCTGGTGGACAGTGGGTGGGGGCTGTGCGAAGAACTGGGATGCTAGAGAGCTGATGGTCCAGGCCCCTTCTAGGCCACACAAACAGTGTCCATATTTGTGCTTCTATCTACACTGTAAGGAGCCACCAGGACAGAGTGGGTCCCATGGATGGCTGCCACAGGACAGGACGACTATCAGGTAAAGAGAGAGACACAGACTGGTACTTACTAACACGCTCTTTACATAGCCAGCAGTTTCAAGGGTCTGGGGAAAGAAAACAGCATGTTATGGAACAGAAGGTGCGGACCTTGCCCCTGTCAGAGCCTGCAGAGCCCTGGAGTGGCCCCATCCCCACTGCATTTGTGCCACAGAATCATGCTGCCGAGAGTCCTTGGGGCCACGTTCTACCCTCCTGAGAGAAAGGTTCCACCCTAACCCTCCTTTTTCCTTTCTTGAGCTGATCTGCTGAGGGTTCCCTGAATATTCCAAGCCCCAGGAACATCTTGAGAACTGGTGAGTCTTCTGCTTACTGGGCAGCGGGAAAAGGAGGCCTTCAGGAACTGCAGTTTTATACTGCAGTTTTTTGTAACTTATAGAGATTTCATCTTTTTCCCACTTCCTTGTAAATTATTGTTATTGTTCAGATTGATGATCCCTGTGTCATTCATTAAGAAAAGAATTCAAAGCCCAGGCATTACCGGGGTGGGCTGCCTTAGTGATACTCCCCCTTCCAGAGCCCAGGGCAGGGTCTTTCTGTTCCTTGTCATGTGACTTTGAAGGCAGCTTTAGACCTTGAAAGAGACAGGCACTGACAAAGGAGCACCACAGTCCTGCTGCTTGCTTGCAGCTCCTTCTGAAATTATCTCAGCCTGGGTTTTCCAGGACCCCAGGGAGATGGAGAAAGTGGGAGACTCCAAACTGGGATTGCAGGAGAGTTTCCTGGGCACTAGTTTCCTCTCTGCAATGGAGGGAACTACAAGGCATCCTTCTAAAAGATGTATATACAACTCAATCCCTAGCACCTATGAATGACACTTGATTTGGAAATAGAGTTGTTACAGGTATAATTAAGTTAAGCATGAGAAGACAAGGTCTTTCTGGATTAGAGTGGGCCCTAAACCGAAGGACTAGCACCCTATAAGACCCAGAAGAAGAAAGAATATTCAAACAGAGGAGAAGAGAGGCAGAGATGGAAATGACGGGGTCACAAGCCAGGGAATGCCGAGGCCCTCCAGAGGCTGCCCAGGGGAAAGAGCAGACCCTTCCAGGAGGCCCTGGAGGGAGCGTGGCCCTGCTCACCAAAAACCTGGAGTCTGGACTTGTGGACTCCAGATCTTCGAGAGAATGAATTGCATGGTTTAAAGTCACCCAGACTATGGTGATTTGTTACTAATGGAGTGCTGTTGGCCTTGGGTCCCCAAGGAGTAAAAGTGGCAAGGAAATCCTGAACAGAGCTACCTAGAGAAGGCCACCTTGAACAGTGACCATAGTCGGGGATTCAGCCTGAGATGGTCCCACAACTGCTTGCCCACCTTCCCTCCGTCCCCTCCCTGGGAAGCCAGGACAGGCAGGGGTGTGTGGGATGCGGTCACCTTGGAGAGCTCATCAATGAGGCTCTGCTGCTCTACAATTTGAAGCTTCAGGAAGTCCACTTCCCTTTCATCCTGACTTTGATCAAGGTCGTTTAGGGAGCTGGGTCTTCGGATGATCCCGGCTCTCTGCCTCTGAAACACCAAGCGAGCTGTGTCACAAGTGGCAGGAACGTGGTCTGGCTGGACGGTAGCGCTGGGGTCATCCCGCTGCGCCTGCAGGAGCAGCTCGTGGTCACCTTGGCTGCAGGCTGCTGCTCTACTCAGGCCTCAGAGCAGCTGGCTGCAGAGCCCAGGGAAAACTGAAACCTATGTTTTAGCTGGTCCCCACCATGATTGTAGCTGGACACCACACACAGACCAAGTCTGCCCAGAGCAGGATCCTGTGGCACCCCTGAGGAGGTGACTGTGGAGCTCCCAACGCCCACACATGCTCTGCTTGAAGCTGCAGCTCAAGCTGAAGAGAAAGCCTTTCTGCCAGTGAGGTCCTGGGGATGTTCCTGCCACTCCTCCCCATCATGCTGAAATACTTATTGGCTGAACTTGCTTCTCGGCCTCTGGGCCTCTCGGGGCCAGAGGGAAGATGAAATCACCACCCACTATACATGATCAGACTTAGAGGCCAAGGCATGAGTGTGGTCCCCCAATCAAGGCTCGGTGCTCTGTGCCATACCTACTCCTCCGACCCTCTCCATGCTTGGGATCCTAGGGCCTCTCGCTTGCTTCATCTGGAATTTAGACTTGGGAGCTCACTTGCCCAAACTCCTGGTGCTAGAGAGGTCTAGATGGGAGGGGATGTGTGACTGTCTTTACTGGTCTCCTGCTCATCTCTGCCTCTGCCTTTCTGCCCTCCCAGGCATCACACCCTTCCTTCCCAAGACCAGTTCTTATCTGAGGCTTTTCTCCTACAAGCAGGGACACAAGACCAGACTTGACCCTGAGGGCCGAGTGCCCGGCAGGCTCTGCTGTCTTATTAGATAGCACAGAGAAGTGGACGGCATTGCCGGCCAGGCTGTGCACAGCTGCTGCCCTGCCACCTGGCAAGCCCTTACCATTTCCATATTCTCCTGGGTGACAAATTTCAACTTGCTTTCTATTCGCCGTAATGTGTGAGACAAATCTTCATTTTTCCGGGTAAGGCGTTTGTTTTTATCCAGCAGCGGCTTGTACTGACTTTCAGCTTCTCTTAAACGCTTTAACTGAAATAAAAGTTAATTATACAACCCGATTTTGTTAAGTTACAGAAACTGATAGATCCCTACCCACAGTCAGCAAACTGACCAGACAAAGCTTCAGCTCAAGGGCAGGATTATCAGCCCCCTAGGGCCATCTCTCTAATCTCCCCAGGGTCTGGGTGCTAGAATATGCCAAGGATCCCCAAGTCTGCATATGTTCAAGTTCTTACATAGAGTAGTTGATGCAGTATTTGCACGTAACATATACATATCCTCATGTATATTTGAAATCATTTTGGGTTACCTGTAATGTCTAAGACAATGTAAATGCTGTGTAAATAGTTGTTACCTCATATTGTTTACACAATAATGGCACGGCAAAAAGACAATATATGGTCAGTACAGATAGGATTTTAAAAACAATTTTGATCCACTGCTGGTTGAAGTCACAGATGTGGAACTGTGGGTACAGAGCCAGCAAGTACACAGGGCCAGCTATATTTATAAAGTTTTTCTAGGTGCCTGGTGGAGCCCCCAGGCTGACTGGTGCTTGCTATCCCTGCAGCACTCAGGTGATCTTTGGATGGGAATAAATTGCAGAACAGCATTCTGGGGCCAATATTGTCTGCCACCAAGAGGGGCAGTAAAGTCATGCAGGCCGCTCTGGCCTTTCCAGCCATTCTGAGCAGCTCTCATATCCTCTGTGAGCTCAAGTCACTTGGAAACCTCAATGGTTAAGAAGACTATCAGTGACAACTACCTTACAGGGTAGTGTCCTCGCACATGTCAGGTCACATGCAGAGTTCAAGACACTTGTGCTCTAGTAACAGAGCAGGGATCAGCCAACCAGCACACAGGGACAAAGTTTGGCTCACCTGTATTGTTGCTAATAAAGTTTTATTGAAACACACTCAAGAAGCCTAAATGAAAATTACTTGCTTTTTGCCCAAGGAAGTCTGGAAGTGGACAACTTCTTGCTTTTCCCATCATTCAGCTACAAACTTCTCTGCAAAGATCCTCTGCAACACTCACCAGTTCATTCCTTTCTTCTGACAGCAGGGCATTGCGGTCCTCCAGTTTACGAATGATGGCACTTAACTCTGCAATTTTAAGTTGGAAGCGCCGGGCATCTTTTTCATCCAACTGCTGTTCCTAAAACAAAAATCAACTGCAAATAACTGTTCCTAGATGCAGATATACAAAACATTTGCAAACACAACCCACTATGGAAACCAAATTCTTCTGCATGGTGACTGCCCTCACTTCCAAGTGGCCGCTGGTGGGTGTGGACCCTCCTGGGAGGGGTACCATGCTTTGAGTGCATGCACTGCAAACTGCAAGATGAGGACAGAATTGAAGCAGAAATGTCTGGAGTATGCAAATGTGGAGGGCAAGAGCGTGCAAGTGCCAGCACACAAGAGCAGTGGGACCAGGAACGTGCTTTCCTTGTGGCTGCTGCCCAGCTCCACCTTTCAGATGGGGGCCTGCCTGACCTGACAGTGGGCAAGTCACTTCCACAGGATGAGCATGGGAAAAGACACACATTACAGACTTCTGGAAGTTGCTTTCCCAAGAAGTTCAAATTGAGTTCTAGAGGGTCACTTTTGCAACCACAGGAACACCATCCAAAAATCAGTAAAATCATTTTCATCCAGTTTCAGTCTCTGGAGTCAGTACAATAGTCTACCAAGCACCAGAGCAGGAGGGGATGATTCTAACTCTGTTAAGCTGTTTGCAATAGGACCACAAAATTCTGTTCTCTGTTCTTACAATGTCACTGTCCTACGGCTGGATCAACTCAATCAGTTTTCCTGACTGGGTTCTCTAATTAAATAAAAGAGTGTCCATAAAGATATTGGACAAGGCTCGAGTTCCTCATTCAATGGGTGCAGGAGAGGCTAGGGACCTAAGACCCAGAGGGACTGTGTCAAGGGTCCATAGGTTTAGAACTCCCAGGATATTGCAGACCAATGCAGAGGAATCTGAATGAGGAGCAGCGATGACATGGATGAATTCACAGTCCGTGTGGCTGATGGCTGACCCACATGATCATTTACAGCCCATGGAAGAGCAGAAAGTGGCATGTCACATGAAAAGCAGGTGGGAGTATGACTGGTGATGTGAGTGCCAGAAACAACTGCATGGGGGCCAAGCTGGAGATGAGGGCGTGTGGCAGCCAGAAGCCTGCGCACATGGGCATGGAAACAGCACACGCTCCAAGCATCTCATCTCCCATCCACCAAGGGTATCAACCTGGAGGTCCAGGAGGCAAAGGACTAGTGGTTGCTGTTGGTGAGGGAGGAAGGAGACCATCTATCAGTCCTCTTGACCACTGCTGATAAAGAGAGGGCTCAGGGCTGGCTGGAGCTTGTCCAGGGCAGATTCTACTTGGATTTGGGTCCCACACAAGGCTGCGCAGCCACATGGTGCTGTGTGTCTGTGACTTGGGGCCAGATGGGGTGAGGCCTGGGGGTGCTTACAGGGCTTCCTGAGTGGTCTGAGGCATCTCCTGCACCGCTTGCATAAGGAAGTTCCCGTCTGGGGCTGCCTGGGTGCCGCTCAGCCTCTCTGGCCTGCGAAAGCTGCTCATCTAGAGCCTCTTTTTGAAGCTGCAGTCTTTGGGCATGCCCGGCTTGAACCCCTAACTCTCTCTCCAGCACGAAGACTGCTCTGTCTTTAAATTTTATCTCCTCCATCTACAAGGAGAACAGAACACAATCACACATGCAGGCAAGGTACGGATCTACAGTTACTATAGAAACACGCATAGTGACACTGGGAGGGGTCTGCATTGGCAGCAGCCCTGCCAGTATCCTAGGTTGGGAGACCAGAAGCAAAACAGACCATCTTAGCTGACAGCCAGGTACTACATCCCCCAGGCTGCTATACCACACCCTGGCCCTGGGCCACCTGGAGTCAGCTGGTTCATCCCAGGCTGGTGATGGGACCCAGGGACCCAGGCTCTGTATACCCTTGCACCACCAGCCCAGCTGGTCAGCAAGACTCCACATCCCCATTCTCAGTGTCCATGGACATAAGCATCATCTGGCAGAGTTGAGGGAAGCCTCCCACAGCTCTTGCTTCTTTCTGTACACTGAGTAGTGAAGGTGACACCCCAAATCACCCATACACACCAGCAGGAAGGGTATGATGGGCAAGATTCTGCTGTGTATGGCAGGGGTAAAAGCAGTGAATAACAGCCTTGGCCTGAAAGCTCTCCAAGCCCACTGCAGTCCTGATTGCTCCCCATCTCTGAGAGGTGCCAGGTCAGGGAGGGCTGGGTGGTCTGTGGGGGCACTCCTGCCATCCTTCTCCATCCCCCTCTCCTGGCTCTGAGCTACAAAGTTAGCTACAAAGTTAGAGAGCTGTTTCTAGGCAAAGCTGCTTTTCCTACCAATCTTGCTGCAAGCTAATGCTTTCAGGGTGTGGTGAGGGCATCTGGACAGGAAGGCTCCAGGAACAGATGCACAGTGTGTCTGCTCCACCCTAGGACCTGCATGCTGGCCAGGCTGGCCACTGTGAGGGTTCTGCAGCATTTCCCACTTTCCCTAAAGGGAAGCATTGTTTGCCCTCACCTTCTAATGGCAACAAGAAACCCTTGCACACACAGCTGCCGCCTGCACTGGGGACCTCTCACTTGGGCTGCCCCATACACACATGCTTGGTTTGAGATGGATCCTGCCAAGTGGACCGTGCAACATGGAGAGAAAACAGAACTCTAGCACTCCAGGCTGTAAGCAGCACTAGATTTACAAGAAGATGATAATATCTTTGTGGAAGAACACATGCAATTCACACCGTATTTTCAAATAATGATGCAGAGTAGACCTCTGCTTGCTGGGTAAGGTTAAAATAAGTGAGTGAGTCAGTCATCTGGTCAAGTTAGCTTGGAAACAAAGATAAGATGTCTAATTAACCCAGATCACAAATTCACAGGCAAGCTATCAACAGACTAGAATACAACAAATCCTTAATTGCTGAATTCCTGTTTACTGGAGCATACAGTGGTATGGAAAGAGGTAGCAGAGCCAATTAGTGAGACAAAGTAGCCAGTGAAAATGAAACCATATCAATAGGCAGCTCTGTCCCAAAGTCTAGCACTTAAAGGAAGATGTTTACAAACATTGTTTCTCCTTCACGGGGAAACAACAAAGTGAGGCTCCAAGGACCACTTGGGAACTGGCTTGGAGTACAGGGCCAACCTGTGTGTGAAGCCGTCATGCAGGAAGGTAGACTATCTGCAAAGACCCATGCCTGCTCCACCACCACCACTAGGGAAATGCAGGAACAGTGCTGTCACTCGGGCAAAGGATGCTCACCTAAGAATTGGTGACAGTCTCCCAAACCCGTGGGTCTCTCATGCCGAGATTCCTCAGGCAGATGTGCATATCTATGTCTTCTACTCCCTCTACCTTAGGCCTGAGATTTTGGTGGGAAGAACAGCGTGTGCGTGCAGGACGCCCGACCCTGCCTGGATCGAGATGCTCTGTGGAGCTGGGTGGCCCCTCACTCTCAATGAGCTGCTTCTGACCCAGTGCACACATTCAAACGTGAGTAATGGGATGGTGATCAGTGCTTGTATGACCAGCCTGTGAAGCCATGGTGGGCCGTGCAGGTTTGAAGGCTTCCAGCACGTGTGTACACCCAGACCCACACACACAGCTCCCCCACTGCAAGGGTTTTAATCAAGTGTCTGTTAGTAAAGCCACAGGCTGAAGGCTCTGACACGCTCTTCCTGGTGCTACTGAGGGGCAGTTGACTCCTTCCCTTCCTCTGTGCTGCAGAGCACAGAGAATAGTGAGCCTGTCCCACACCCCAGCTATCCCTGTGCTGACATCGAGGTGGCTAGTCTCCCAGTGAGCCCGCAATTGGGAAATTCCTGGGACATGGGTTTTCAAAGCTGAAACTGGGGAGTCCTGGTGAACCAGGATAAGTCAGTTTCCCTGCCGCCAGGATGGCTTCAGTGGCTTCCAAATGGCCTGCCTGTCCCCTCTCCTATAACCAGTCCACTCTGTCCCCTTCAACCAGAGTCAGCTTTTACAAAGAGATCAGATCTCACTCTGTGGGTAAAATACCCTCTCCAACAATAGGAATATCCTTACAGGAGCCTTACAGGAGAATCCTTACAGGAGCCTGTAGGTTGCCATGTGAGCTGCCTCTACCAATCCTAGTCCCTCACGCTGCCCCTCACTCCCAGGTTCAGAGGCTGTCTCGAAATCAGAGGGATGTCCCTTGGAGTGGTGGGTCCCCGGGGAAGTGGTGTGCAGGAGGCAAGGAGAATCGTCCTTGTTCAGGAGAGAAGACGGCTCTCTGCACCTGGACTCATTCCTGCCTCTCCGAACACACAGCACACTCAGCACAGCACTGAAAGCAAGTGCTCCTGGTCAGTTCTGCATCCGAGTCAACAGGCAGGCTCCTAGTCCACACCCTGCACAGGGTGCAACCTGGTGCCTGCACTGTACCAGCACCCCTGAGGATGGTGAAGCACACTGACATGATCCAGCCACCATCCTGCAATGCTGATGTCCCCTGCACACATATGCCCCAAAGTGCCCATCAAGGATGCTTGTCTCACAGGGTGCATCACTCTGGTGTGGTCACTCACAGTTGTGGCTGCTCTTGTCTGTGCTGGCCGTGCCTCGGTGTTACATACAAGGGCTCTGCCTAAGGCATTGGCAGAGTGCCTATTACCCTAAGCAAGCATCCTTAGAGAAGGACAGGTGTCCTGATCTGCAAAGGCCTCCTGACCCAAGTAATAGGCTCCCCTATGACAGTGGTGGCTCACCCCACCTCCATCTATCTTCTTCCGGAAGGATCTGCATCTCAGGTGACCGCCCCTGCCTATAAGCTCTGTCCACAGGAAACCTGAACATCAATGTGTCTCACATGCCAGAGGAGGCTGCTGCTTTTCAGTAGATGTGTGGGAGATGAGGAAGGATGTGGTGTGTTTTTTATAGGCTCTTTGTCTTCTGGGAGAAGAGGTCCTAAAGAGGCTTAATGAGGTGTTAAAGGAGAAGGAGTCCTGAAACTCAGCCATTAAAGGGCTGAGGAAGGGAATGAAGATTGCAAACAATACCCAGATAAGCTAGAGGGTTTGATACTATTCAGGGTGAGACTCAGGGACCAAAGAATTTGGAGGTCTGGTTGCACATCCTTGGGTGAATGTGCCAGAATGAACACCCTCCCCCAGCCTTACGCATCCTTGGGTGGGGAATAAGAGTTGGAATAAAGAGAAAGAGATGACATTTTAGGTCAAGGAGATGACAAGTACCCAGAGGCTTAGTAGGATCTGGTGTATATCTGAGAATCAATTCTGGGAATTTGGTCCTGAAAGGGTTAACTCCCTAACTCCCCAGAGCAGGGAATAAAAGGGTTAACTCCCTAACTCCCCAGAGCGGGGAATAAAAGGGTTAACTCCCTAACTCCCCAGAGCGGGGAATGAAAGGGTTAACTCCCTAACTCCCCAGAGCGGGGAATAAAAGGGTTAACTCCCTAACTCCCCAGAGCGGGGAATAAAAGGGTTAACTCCCTAACTCCCCAGAGCAGGGAATAAAAGGGTTAACTCCCTAACTCCCCAGAGCGGGGAATAAAAGGGTTAACTCCCTAACTCCCCAGAGCGGGGAATGAAAGGGTTAACTCCCTAACTCCCCAGAGCTATCAGAGCAGAGCAGAAAGGAATGCCTAACTCCCCAGAGCTATCAGAGCAGAGAAAAAAAAAAAAAAGAATGCACTTGCAAGGTTGTTCTGTCTCAACGAGATAAGTAAGACAAGTAACTGTTCTGTTCTGGGCACATAGTGACTGGGCTAGGAACCCCAGTCTCCATGGTTACTCAACCCCAAACCCCTCCAATCAACTTCTGCCAAGTCCTATGCTGCTCAAAATTAACCAATGCAATTTGCTTCTGTAAACTTGCTTGCCTCCCGCTTGCACCCTTAAAAACCCTACACAATTCCCCCTCGGGGCCCCCTCCGCACTTGTTTGCCTGGGGGACCCCATGCGCATGGAAATAAACTTTTTACTCCTCACTACGAGCTGAGTCCTTGGGGTCTTCTTCCCTGCGACGCCGGTTCCTACATATGGAGGCCCTAGCGAGATAGTACGTCTCACGGGAGACGACCTCAACGGCTCCGCCTTACACCGCGGGTGAGTACTACCGGTCACTTTTGTTTACTTTCATTTTGAGATCGATCTACCAGTACTTTACGCCCCGAGCCCAGCGGCTCCAATCTAGGGGCAATTTCTGTTATCTGTTCTCTGGTGACCAGGGGACGCCCCACACGGTTTTCCGTGGCTCACCGTCTGCGATAGGGTTTTCCTATCGATCTGGGGAATTTCATTCCCAATCTGTGGTCCGTCCGGGCCAATCTGGAGGCACCTCCTAAAGTGACTCGTTTGGTGTGAGACTAATGCGTGAGAGTGAGGTGGCCGGCCTGTTCGTCTTGTGTGTTGCGGGTGTTGTGTTCGGATATTTGTTGTATCACGCTTGCGTTAACCGCCCTGTGACTTTAGAACGCCATGGGACAATCGACCTCATCCCCATTGTCCCTCACCCTCGACCATTGGTCGGAGGTTCGGAAGAGGGCTCACAATCCCTCCTTACAGGTCAAGAAAAGTAAATGGCAGACTTTCTGCTCGTCTGAGTGGCCCATATTCTCCGTGGGTTGGCCACCGGAGGGGACCTTCCACCTTCCCCTC